GTCGCGTAGGCTTGAGTTGGTCGACGACAACGTTTTTTGAATTGACTGTATCTACTAGGCATTTTAAGGAGCAGTATGATGGTCATCATCGAACTATTCAAATAAGGGTAAATAACGCGAGAGAAAGCCTGGGGCGAGTACAAACTTCCTGCGATGATTGCAAACCAATTAAAAATTCGTATTCATCCATCAAATATGCTTGATTTTTAGATAAAATATTTATTTACTGGGTCCCCGTAGAGCAGCTTTGCTCTGTGGGGTTTTCCTGTCCTTGTGGAAAAGCTCATAAAATAAAATAAATAAAAATAAAATAAAATGATAATATTGTAAACCATAACTGAATATAACATTTCTTCAGCTAGAACCATAGTAAATGTCTATGAATAGCGCAGCGCAACCGTGACGTAATAAAAACGAAGACAGCCGATCGCAGTTGATCTTACTTTACATGGGTTATTATTGTAACTTTAAGTAAAAATAATAAAATCGGTTCGCATAATCCTCGTAGCGGTTAAACAGAATGCAATGTTTGTCCGAATCTTTAAGCTATTTTTAGAATCAGTGCGCTGCGCTATTAAAAAAAAACATCTTCTTCAGAGAAAAATGCAACTGACATAATATGAAACATAAGTTCTAAATATTTCATATGCCGCGCGCTCTGATTGGCTGGCTACCGTGTTTATCGTGTTTATAAAGGTTTTATTTACAAACATAATCATCCAATCACGTAGGTTTGTTGTGAAGTCATAAAGCGTGTAAGGCCTTCAAAACAATTATCACGTGCAAATAAAATATAAGTTCGTTGATTGAAATTTCTAGTAAAAGCTCATACGACGGCTGTTGAAGTTGCGAATAAAGCAGTTCTGACAGTCATGAAGAGCGGTAGAGCTTTTCCAGAGAGAGTTGGTTTGGTAACTAAAGGACCAGCATTCGAGAAAATCAGTCGTAAATCAAGCAGCGTTTTTGAAGAAGATGTTGGATTGAATGAACTAGGAAAGCTACCATTTGTGGCCTAGAAATCGGAGAGTCTAGTGTACGAGAATACGTACAGGATGGCGCCTGATGAAAGCAAAAGGTTCTTACCAGGTACTGTCGTCATGAACGAAATAAATTGGGGCAAATATATTTTAGCGGATTTAGTTAACACATGCGTTAAGCATGTACAGTAATATGCAAATAATTCAGTCTTGACTTGGGAATTATTTGAACAAATTACGTTCATGTTATAACAAGAAATAAATAAAAAATATACTTAACTTACTTTTCAAATCTTCAATCGTTATCTCGGTTGAGCTTGGTTAAGCTGGTTGGAGTGAATGAATAAAACGGTATAATCAAAGAGCCGATGTGTCATAACTACATTATGTATATTAGATGAGCTACCAGTAATGGAAGAAAGATTAACAATAGATAATAATGAAAGTGTGAAAAACTACAGAGCCATTTACGCGGGATTTTTGCAGCGATTTGAGGTGTAAATTTCACGGTGATTTTTGGTCATAGTCAAGAATGGTAAAAGATTAACTTATAAAGTTTTATAACAAATGCCTTTCTAGAAGCTTAGGCCCCGTCCACACGTATCCAGAAACTTTTGTATTCGCAAAAATTTTTATATTTTCAAAATTCGCTGCAAAAAGAAAAAAAACGAGCCTAGCTGTATAACCAATTCAAACGTTTCAAAGAATAAATGGGACTGTAATCTAAAAGGAATAAATAATGTTTAATTAACCAACAGCTCGCGTCAAAGCCATTTCAAGCACTGTCCTCCAGGAAATGTTATTCAACGTGGATTACGACCCAAAGGCATGCCGGGAGCTTTCACTGAAAATAAGTGACGTCATCGTTCGTCAGGTGACTTCTCTGGGATTCGATCGATACAAGATCGTGTGTTTGACGACAATTGGTCAAAAGACGGATCAAACTGTTCGTATTGCAAGCCAGTGCTGTTGGGATCCCAAGGTTGACAACTTTGCTGAATCAATATTTATGAACAAAAGTTTGTTTGCAGTGACGGTAGTCTATGGATCGTACCAAGAATGACAAGAATATATATAAAATAAATACAAATTAGATATGTACTTTCTCACTATGTATATCTTACCTGGTAAACCTTGGGAAACTTGGAGAGCTAGCTAGGGGGAAGGGGATGGGGAAGTACTGTCCTTACTACCCATTATCTCTTAGCTCTTTTACTTCGGAGAAGGACTAGCGTCCGAATTGTCAGTAAGTTTTTTCATCTTTTCACGGTGTTTCATTAGAAACACCGACGCAGGTCACACTAGTTTTTAGCTAGTTATCTCTGCCCATTATCAAGGGAATCAACTGCCTTCGCAAAACCTAACATGCTTAATGCCAATAGAGGCTCTGCACCATCACGTGCTGGCACCCATAATCCAGCTTGAACTGCTTGTAGTTAGATGCCACAACGATAAAATCCCTTTGCTCTTGGTGTAGACGACAACTATTTGATTTCCTAATTAGCGTAGGTTATTAATATTCATAAGTTGAAATTATGGGATGTAAGCCGGGACAAGCAGCAAGACGATCGTAATACGTACACCATATGGTATGTCAAGATTATATTTGATTTTCCGTAAGATATAGGCTTTTAATTTGTAACTTTTTATTTCTAGTGAACCTCGTAATTATAAATCTGTCTATTGTGAATGAAATAACTGAAGAACATCAAGATTATCGAGAATTAAATCGCTGATATAATCGACGAGCGTTTTGCGTTGTGTACCCATTACTGAATTAGATGTCCCCACTRAACGAAAGAAGATGTCCGCTACACTTGGGAAATTAATTCTTTCTCATGTAAAACGATTGTATTGTTCCTGCCATCTAACATGGCTGCCGTCAGGTGATGGTGCAAAGCTTTATTCTTAAACCCTGCCCTGACTTTAACCAAGCCCAGAGGTTGTTTCGGAGCTAAATCTGCCAATAACCTTTACCCTGACTTTGGTTAGTAAAGTATCCACCAATTCTAAAGTCGAATGGACGGATGGGTCAATATTAATATTACAAACATTGACGTGTCTCTAAGGGTAGCATCGTGGTGTACGGTTTAACCAAGTGCGTCATAGGTTTACGAACGCACGAATGGGACTTTTCGAGGACTTTTCGAGGAACTTTTTCGAGGATTTTGGTACTTCTCACTTAGGAAAAAAAAAACAGTGGCAGGCAGGCAAGATCGAACCCGGCACCATTGCCACCAAATGTTATCACAATGCCTATCCCTATACTAACCCTAAACCTAACCACTCAATTAACCACGAGATGAATTCGCTTGGATGCTTTCCCATTTTTGTCATATTTAAAAAATATGGTAAGCRCAAAAATCTTTATTATAGTATAATATGTGCTATCGTAGGACACGACTACCAGCCGAATGAATTTGCATAACGGAATTTGAATTTGAATAGAATCGCGGCCCTGACAATTCCCTTACCCCACGATACTATTCATGGTGGTAAACAGGCCATTTAAGTGCCCTACTTATCGGTATCCGCTATTGTTCTAATGACATGTATCACTGACCAATAGATACTACCCCTGGTGGTAAACAGGCCATTTAAGTGCTCTACTTATCGGTATCCACTATTGTTCTATGACATGTATCACTGACCAATAGATATTTGATACAAGTGTAGCAAGACATGCCACTCACTAGATCACCTGCTCAATGACCTGCTTCGAATCATCGAATTCTTTTCCCCACTACATTGGAAGTCGAAAACCCCAGCAAAATGGATTCAATCTAGATTACTCAATAGTTTTTTCKTTGGAATCTTTAGCAACCTTTAAATTCCGGTATTTTTATCTGTCATTACATGATTCAGTGCTGTCATGTCTCGGAACTATCCTGTACTAAGGTATCATCATTTTAAAATCCCTACTAAGTCTGCTAACGTACTACATATTATGGTATTTCTCGGCGTATTGCGTGATCAAAGTCTACTTTATTTATCTTACTTTCAAACATAAACAACTGATTCCATTAAAAAAGCACTAAATGTTTTTAATGTGCGTTTATTACACGGCGGCCATTATTTTCAAGTACCTGAATGCGAGGGCACGCGTTCTGGAATCTATTGTTCAAATCACGTGGCTGCCGCATGGGRAAAAAAGGCCATCTAGTTATTTACCTTCAATACATCCTTGCCAATTATCTACTGATCTAGCGAAACGTCTAGAGTGAAATGAGAAATTAATCATGAAAAAGGAGTGAATTTCATTTTATGAAATTTATTAATATATTCGGAATTTTATTTGTATATATTAATAATGATAGTTTATGATAATAATAGTTTAAAATATATATTTATATAAGAACGTCGTAAAATAAAACTAGCACAATGCTAAAATAGAAAATAATTATATTGATTTGAATAAAAACGAAAAATGCTTGTTAAAAATATTAACCTCAGTGAACGGTCTTGCATTGCAGTTTTCTCAGGGGAAAACTTAAAAATTTATTTAACCTGATGTAAGAATGAAGTTTACATTGCTATTAATTACTAATTTGCTTTTTTTTYCAGTTTATCTTTATATCTATCTATCTGTTTATGTAATATATACAGAATTGAAGAATTGGGATACCTGTGTAAAGTATTCCACAGGCAGCCCAGTTAAATTTAAAACAGATAATATGACTTAGTTTTACACATGCATTCACCAACTTTAGTTAAAATAAAATATGTATTGATACTTAGAAAGCCGTTTGATATGGTCAAAATACAACTAAAACGAGAAACGAGTCATAAAGAAGTTAGTAATTCGACCAAAGCAGCTTGAATTTCTTGCGTGATATTCTCTGGCTGTTTTTAAACAACGCTATTAAAAATTTTGTTTTAGGAAACTAATGCAGGAGTATTTCAAAACCCGTTGAATTATTCAATGCTTATTAAATGCGGTTGTCATCACTGTTTTGAAAAGTAGAAAAAGGTTTTTTTTTTGCTGTTCAAAAAATCTTTTAATATATATCTTTTGATATACCTTGAAACAACCTTAAACGACCTCTGTTCAAAGTCATGGGACTGTTTCGAGCAGATCGAATTGGAATTTAGTATGTTAGCTTTTAAGAAGTGAGGAAACGGTGTACCTGGAGGAAAAGCCGCGAATCAAGGGAGAAACTGCGATCTTATTTTCAAGAAGAATTACCTTGCCACTTAAGCAGGCTAATCAATGAACCGTGCTATATATATATACTCGTGTCAAATAGTGTTTTATGACATGAGCTTTATTATTCTATAGTGCCCGTTGCTTGCATGGTACCTAACGTGGTTTATGGTTAAAACGTCAAACTTGTCGTGGTTGAATGTTACACCTTGCTTTTATCTCAGTCAGGGATCTCGTATTTTTTTACCACTGAACAACAGCTTCTAGAAATAAATATAGTTTCTCTTTTCCTTTTCTTTCTTTTCCTTTCCTTTCCTTTCCTTTCCTTTCCTTTCCTTTCCTTTCCTTTCCTTTCCTTTCCTTTCCTTTCCTTTCCTTTCCTTTCCNTCAGTCAGGGATCTCGTATTTTTTTACCACTGAACAACAGCTTCTAGAAATAAATATAGTTTCTCTTTTCCTTTTCTTTCTTTTCCTTTCCTTTCGAATTTTTAATTTTCCTTTCCTTTCCTTTCCTTTCCTTTCCTTTCCTTTCCTTTCCATTCCATTCCTTTCCTAAGCTAAAACCAGCTACCTATTTAATATAAAAATAAGTTGGTCCTGCAAACACTCCGTTCTTCTTGGCGCTCAGCTGCAATCAAAACAAATAGTTTCAAGTTATTTGCATCTTTGTTAACCGGTGATTCACATGAACACTAAAACACTTATCTTTACCACCAGCTTTCTTTCTTCTTCAACAGACCTGTTTATAGTTCAAGTCACGTTCACAGAAACGATATTTTGCTTCAAGCTACAATAAAACAAATGGGAAACAATTAGGAACTATCTGAAACGCGCTTGATTGATTTATATAATAACCCAAATAACACATTGATATTAAAGTCGAAATCTCAAATCTTAAAATCGGAATTTTACTGGTCCTTTGCGAGAGAATGTCAGTAAAAGCAAAAACAAAGCCGGACCTGGTACGTCTTTTGGGGAAATGTCGGGGTAGAACTAAATAAAGAAAAAAAGCTTTTCTCGTCTCACAGCAGACAATATATTATTACTGCAAGATTAAACAATTAATATAGGTGATTCTTATTCTTGGATTGATGGGTTTTGCACGTTATCATAACACAGTTTTTGTTTTCTAAAATTAATGCAATTCAACTCAATTTGCCAGCAGAAAGCAAGAACTTACAGAAAACGAAAAAAAATTCAAACTTACTATAGACAGCCAGAACAACAGCAACAACGAAAGTCATACCCCAATGAAATATAAATTTATAAATATGAGAACGACAACAAAATCGATTAACTCAAGAACAAGTGCATCATCAGCAAAAACCAACAATAACTACAAACTCCAAGAACACGATAACAAACAGACGAACAAACAAACAGCTGTCCACAACAAAAGAGAATAGCACAGTCCTACAAAGATGTACTATCACCATGTATACAACAATAAGCAAAATAATGTCAATAAAAGCTTTGACAACAATGAAAACAACAACCAAAGCAATCTGAACAAGACAACACCAACAAACCTACTAATAAACTGATGATTATATATGCACACTTATTTCAAAAAAGGTTTTCATTAGCCAAAGGCGATAGGCGGTAGGTCATTCCGAGACAGAAATGATTTCGTTGAATACAAAGAACATTGAATCAGTCTCAACACTAAGGTCCATGTTCTTGACGAGAATAAGAAGCAGAAACACAAGTCATTCCAGCTATTCTTGATCTTGGAATGACCTATCTCCTATCGCTTTTCGCCTATCGCGTATTGCCTTTTGCCTTTGGCGATGACAACGTTTTTTGAAATAGGTGTGTTGAATGAATGGACGACTATTGCATTTAACAAGTGACTTTTCTTGCACTGGATTTCAATTGGAATTTAAAAGTTGATTTTTGCCGATGGAGGAAAAACCTCCGAGAAGCTGGAGAAACAGTAAGCCAAAACGTCTTGTGCTTCAACAATAGATGTTGGTACTTTAATTAAAAGGTTGACTGCTTTTGATATATCGCTTTGTGAGCGTTCCTCCCCCCTTTTTATAAAAAGTAGGATTAAAGACCTCGTTATTTAACACTTCGAAGTTGATTGCCTCCATTTGTTAAATCGCAGTAGTTAAATCTATCATTCGAAGGGAATAGACTATTTTGTTTAGTTCGGCAAAAAGTAGTCTAGGACGAAAAAATAGGACGAGAAATGTAATCGTATTCTCTTATTGAGTCTATATATACAGTCAATGTCATTAACGTTGTCCACCGAAAAAAGACATTTACACATTTAGACTATCTAAAAGATATATCACGTGTTTTCTCGAACGTTCTGGCATAAAACAAACGCTGAAATACCATTCTCCATCTTAAATCCTCACTAAATGGTCGGGGGCATTCTGGATTTTCGATTCACGAGTTGAGTTTTACAGTTTAAAGTTCAGGCTCACTTTAGTCTAAATGTCTAAATTTGTAAATGTCTAATGTCTTTTATTGACATTGACTTTATCTTTGTCTTTTTTTGAGATACACTTATCACAGAACTTTAACCCGAATATTGGATTTACAAGTGGGTCGTCAATTACGAGTTCCTGGCATAAACGTGGACGGACAAACTCAGCCTTTCTTCTCTATCCCACCACACAAGTGCGTGCACGAGTATATCAAGCATCTAAACACTCTAACCTAGAGCACAATTCGTAGACTAAATCACTGACTGATTGACTGTCATACAGACTCTTAACTCGTTATTATTTTGTATCTTCTCACGCTTTTTTCGCCCTATTTTTAAATAACGAAATACAATAAAACCTCCACCATGCGAGTGGAAATTACTTCATTTGCAACAGGTCAGCAAGAAGAGTAAAATAGATAGCCGATTCGTTAGACTATTGGTATAATCTGTAACCGTTTTTTAAAGGATATAGAACGAGTGGTTTTAAAATCAATGTGACAGTTTGATTGGTTGATGCTCTTTAACTAACACTTAACGACCACGTGTGCTCATCGTCGCAAGAGTAGTATTTTCCCATTAAACCAAAGCTAGGCACTTGGTATTATTGTTCCTCTACTCAAAACAACGCCTTCCAAATAATCAAATTAGAGTTTAAAGAGCTAATCAAGTGAGAGACTTCTAAAACATGGCTTTGTAGTTTGTTTAGTATTTGGAAGTCTTTGCCAACGGGGGTTCTTCAATATTCTTAAATTGTTAATGCCTGTTTTTATATTACTATGGGAGATTGTTCACGATGAACACACGTTATCAGATGTGCGAGTCACGCTGTTATCAAAGAACAATAGAATGACAATAATAGAACAGATTATCAAAGAAAAGGTGTTTCTTCGCTCACACGGGGTTCATTTGCCATAGAAGTTTTAAAGGAGCCTAAGTTATTACTTGGCAGCGATCAAATAAATGACCTGAATGCTAGGACGGCGTGTGTTCTTTTCCAGTTCAACTAAACCACAACAATAGAGTTTTGATTCCATTTAAAAAATGCTCCCTTAGGCAAACATCTGACTGATAAAAAAAACTTCATATTTGTATATCTAACGGTCAAATCCACGTGACTGTAAGATGTTTGAATTTAGGAAACAATTTATACTGTTTCAAAGAATACAATGATTCTTAAGGCCAACGAGCCACTTATGGTACCTGTCTTTTAAACAAGACGTGCTATACGGTTTACTCAATGCAGGACTACCATTTTCATTTAAGATTTCTTGGGATTTTTTATTACGGTTTTCAAGCGGCTTTAGTTCATGTTTGATATGACAAACTGCGATCTATAGTATTAAGAGACATAGCTAGGACTACTCATGTCGTGGTGTATCACTTTGTTCAAAAACATATAACGGACAAACTGATTTTGCAGTGGCGTAGGCGGAGAAGCTATTGACAAAACGAAAAAATAAATGAGCTATTTTCCCAAACACTTTAGATTAAGATAAGCACGAGGTAATAATGATTTTAAATCTTGCAGAGATTTTGAAAGCACAGTGCTATTTAAAAACTGATGTAACTTCGAGAGCGAAGCCATTGAAGCCTGACCTCAGTATAACGAGCAAGAACAACGTGTGAAATCCTTATTAGAACCTAATAAATACCCGAATGGTAGCCGAATAATAACCTCTTTAACTGATCTTTTCGTTCAAATATGGACGATAAATTAACACACAACGAAGCTATAGTTTCTTCATGAACTTGGTAAAGAAAGAAGATCTTGCCAAGATTGTATATTATAACATTGATCTTAGGCTTGAAAAGGCTCATCAGTGGATCAATTTTCATTCATTTTTCTTCAAAGTAATTCTGATATTTCCCAGTTAACCAATATTTGGATTATTTACAAAACTTGTTTTATTGCTTTCAAAGATTTCTTAAATCTTTTTAACGTATGTGTGTGTATTTTATCTTGTCTATCGGTTTACAAAGTCAATATGACAGCCAAGAATAATCAGCGATGCCACAAAGGTTGTTTGAGTCAAAAGAACGGGTAATCTATTGTTTGACCAAGTGTCTTTATTCTTTGAATATAAGACTCTCTAGCAATTGCTTTAGTACGTTATATATATAATTTTCTTACAGCCAAACATCAGGCCCTAATGTAGTTAAACTTATTATTCAAACTTTGTTTTTTGAAAAACCTGAATCCATTGGTTTGTTTTCGAGATGTAATACATATGTAATAAAGCAATGAATAAACTAATCTCAATATTTTAAAAGTAAGTATTTATTTACATAACTGAATCGAATACAAAATTGAAGTTTACACAGTAAATCGTTTATTTTATAAATGTTTTTTTTCAAAATCAATCGTCATATGACCATAAAATAGGTGAAGATATAATTAGTGTGATTAGATTCTCACTAGCGATTTCCTTAGGAATCAAAAATGAAATTTGAGCGTTTTTGAAAACAGTTTTTTGTGGTTACAGAAATCAAATAATAATAAAAATAGATTAATTTGTTTTTTTCTCTAACAAAAAGTCGTGGCTGTTGCGGTCATTGAATCTTGTGATTGTCAAAGTCCATTCACATAATCCCACCGGAGCAGTATCAGGTTTTTTAGACCGCTAATTATACTATAAGCTAGGACCTATTATTTGTGCTTTAAAAGCCAAATTATTTGAATACAAAATGCTAGTATCAAAAATGTTCTTGTAAATGTCTCAAAATCCATCAGGTCTCATGACCACACAGTCTAATGGATGTCTTGGTAGACCATTCCTTGCGTCTATGGCTGTTGGCGTATGTACAACACTGCTAGCCATAGACTCGGGTAAAATGCCTCTGTGATGGACAACGTGACTGAGTTGCATTGGATGGCCAATTGTAGGTCCATGTGGGGAATACCCTACTGCAGGAGGAGGATAGGGTAAATCTCTACTGATCAGTGACATGTGAGATTGGCAAGGTGTTTTATAGTCCGACATGCCTTGGAAGGAATAGTGTGGTGAAAAATGGTAAGGTGGTGGAGGTTCTGCCATCGAACAAGCTCCAGCACAACTTCCTATGCTCATCATTGCAGCACTCGAAACCATGTGAGATGATAATGATGGAGGGCATAACGCCGTAGACGAAGGAAGATTCAAGCCGTTCATCTCTCCATATCCATAGCTGTAAGGATTCATTCCCGGTGTCTTCAACTTGGAACACGTTTTTGGCTTTCGTTTTGGCTGATATTTATATTCTGGGTGATCTTTCTTATGAAGTTCGCGAAGTCTCTTGGCTTCCTCTACATATGGTTGTTTCTGCTCGTGCGTTAAAGAGTTCCACTCGAGTCCAAGTCTTTTACTAATCTCAGAGTTCAACATCCTCGGACATTCCTCAGCGATTCTTCGTCTTTCCTTTCTTGACCATACCATATAGGCATTCATTGGCCGTTTAATATGTTCACTTGGTTTGGTCATTTTGTTTAGATAGCTATCAAAGTAATTCTAGAAGTATGACTGGACGAGTCTCTTGACAGTGTTCACGATCTATTGAGCGTCTTGACCAACAGAGACCTTTTATATAGCGTCTTGTTTAGCGAAATCAAAATCAATGTATACACGATGCGTCGAACAATAGCAAGCTTGACTAGTTACCCTGTGAAGCTGACTATTATGTAGGTCTTTGAGGGTTAATAATTCATAACTGAGAATAATAGGGCACCCTCATGAAATTAACGAGGCTGTTTTCCCATATACAATAGGAATGAAGAACAACATAAATAATTGAAATGGCACGATGGTTGGCATTGGTGAAACAAGGGGAGATTTGCTGGTGGATATGACCTTCCTGCGCTTCATTGAATTCACAGATTGTTTTGAACAACTTTGAATTTGTTGTCATTGTCATTATATTCTGTAGTAGATTGAGTTATTTATTGATGTGTTGAGAACAAAAAACCTAGAAACAATCTCAGTTTTATATTCATGGGTAATTACATGGTACGATTTCCATTGTTGCACATTAAAAACATTTATTTGTCGGCCAGTGCTGTTTAAGTTATATATAATCTAGTTAAACTTAATAAGACTTAAAAAAGGGGTTGAAGAAGATGAAAATAATCCATAACGGACAAAAGTGCAGGTTTGCAGTAGTAATGGTGTAACAAGAAGTCTTAGCTGTTGCTGTCAAAGAATCCTGTTAATGACAATTTAACTGCCTTAAATTCACGAATTTCATGAAGGTGTATCCCTCTCTTGGAAAAATATTCCCGTCACTAGTTCAAATTCTCTTTGCTTAAACATCTTTTATTAGGAATCACTTGCCTTTGATTTAACAGGACAAAAACTCAGGTATTAAGATTGTCTGCTCTTCCTCTTTTGCTTCTATTAGTGAAGAAACCTTACAACAGATGGCACGACTGGTGGTATACCTAGCAGATTTCAGCTGCCTCGAACCTCATTGTTCTCTTTCCCACGTTCTAATTAGTATTATATTTAATGCTCTCGATTGCCAGGGATTCATTTTAACCGTTGGAGATTATTTTACTTATCGTTGATTGACTCCCCGGCATTTGAGGCCACAGGACAATTGCTCTTGAGTCGATTCCTACTATCTACACAATATCGTTTTCTAAACCACTATAGGATTCATTAGTTCATAAAAAATCTACTTCTTCTTGGATAAATCGTTTGTCTGTCAATTGCTTTTTCCAGGTTTTAATCAAGTTGGGATTTGTTTGACGATCATATCTAGTGTCATCTTAGCACCTTTGATACAGTTGCCTTATTTTAGTACTGTATCGAAAACATTAAGCAAGTCAGGAAAGTCTTACCTAAAATGTGATGCTTGTTCAATCATCATTTAATAATTTGAATAACGTTTTGATGGAGTTTTCTCATTTGGAATCTTTTGTTTCCTCATTCGGACTTGCTAAGTGACTGTATTTTCTTTCATTGTGTAAACATTGCAATTTCTAACACCATAGATACGAGAAGTCAAAGTTAATGGCTCTATTAACTATGGAGAATCCAGGGAATGTTTCAAGGAACTTCTCCTCATTTTTCCTTACTTCAAAAACAAAAAGGATTAAGTACTGATCTACATTAAGCATTATCAAGTCAAGGTTGCTGTTTTTACTAAGGCTTGTCATGGACATTGGTTTGATTCAGTCATAATATAATAATTGGATATTTGCTGAACCTCTTCAAGTTTGAACACATTTGTCTTTTATTCTTGTGTTTACCTAAATGAGGGCTTGGCGTCTCTCTAGGGAACAACTTAACGGCACAAGAACCATGGTGTTAAGATATTGTATTCATCTCCGTTATGATTTACAGGTGTAAAGTAATGCTATCGTCATTGTTAAACAAGTTTAAAGGGCCCTAAGAAAAGCAATGTAAATCGTCAAACTACACGGTACTACATTCGAGTAGAGAGTATCCTCTTTTGCGTATCGACAAGCTGGTTAGAGTTTATCTAAATCTCCGCGTCGCATAATCTAAAACTACTTAAAGCATAAACAAGGCAGATAGAATAACATTCCTAACAGACTCCCATGGATCGATGTTGATTGTTTTCTTTTGGGCTTTCAGTTCCACGAATTAAACTTTTGATAACCAACCTCGGAGGGGGAAAGAGAGTTACTGAGTTAAAGTGCGACTTCTGAGTGCAATGTGTCAGTGATTTAAAGCTAATAAATTTTTTGTATCAGTCTTTAGTCGTGATTGAAGTAATATGATAGCAGACAAATGACGAAGAAGACTTCAAACAAAATGTGTTAGATATTTAAAGAGGCAATCGATTGGTGAAGAGCAGAGCAACACGTGTTTAAACGAATCACTTCAAAAAAGAAGAAGAAAAAAAAAACACGTGTCGCTAGGCGTTCGCATTAATGCACTCAACTATTTCACTTTCATTCAAAGTGCACTTCAGTCCTTTGCTTCTAAGGAATCTTTTCTAGCTTTCGTTTCTTAGAGACGAAGAAGGAATGGGGAGTGCACTTTTTGAATTACCAAAGACTGTTACTAGTTTATGAGTACGCATATCGATACATTGTATATTTTTTTCAAGCACTTAAGAAGTACAAGAAAAAATGTTTGRATATTTTCAAATCCAGATGCCATTCAAAAGTTTAGATTTTCAAATCCAGATGCTTTTAGAGTTTGGTGTAATAAAAGATCGTAGCAGAAATAAAAAAGACCGGGAAAAACGGGACTCTTCGCACTTCCTCTCAATTGACACACAAAGTCAGTCGACAAAGTCTGACTTTATAACTTTTATAACTGTTGAATTAACTGAATATCCGGTCAAAACAAAAGACAAAAACAAAAACAAAAACAAAAAACGTATGGATTATCAATTCCGCTGAGGGATTTTACACTCAAATTACGGCAGTCTATTGAACTAGTTCTTCAATCAAAAGTGGATTTTTAGTCATTGCATTGGCGAATGATAAACGAATGAAGTCAAACAAGAAATGCCCTGAATGAAGGTACCTGTTCCCTTAGCACCTGATAATGGATTTGTAATTTAACCTGTCTAATTGCTTCAATAATTCTTTTCCTCCAAGGATCTACAACTCTTTCCACTAATTTAAACTAATTTTTGGTAACCCTAACTGAATTTAGTCAAATCCTAATTGTTTGTCATTAACGCTGCGTTCTGATTGAATGAGTTTCTAATAGGCAATAAGTTATATCCTACTAGTAGCGAAAAGTGCTGGCTTTGAAAACCCAAATTATTATCTCAAATTTAAGACTTGTTTGCATCTACTCATTTGACAGACTAGTTGGATTTGACTAAAGCAGTTAGTCCTATCGCCCTTGACTCATAGTCCATGACTCATAGTCAATTCGGGGTCGAGGACTATTGGCTAGATATATATTAAAGACCTCATTAAGTTGGCAGTTGTAGATGCACGTATATCTCTTTCTTTT